TTCTTTGTTTGTTTCTTTGTTTGTTTCTTTGTTTGTTTCTTTGTTTGTTTCTTTGTTTGTTTGTTTGTTTGTTTGTTTGTTTGTTTGTTTGTTTGTTTGTTTGTTTGTTTGTTTGTTTGTTTGTTTGTGTTTGTTTGTGTGTGTTTGTGTGTGTTCGTGTGTTTGTTTGTTTGTTTGTTTGTTTGTTTGTTTGTTTGCTTGCTTGCTTGTTTGTGTGTTTGTTTGCGTGAATGTGTGCATGTTTGCTTGTTTGGTTGTTTGTTGTTTGTTTGTTTGTTTATTTGTTTGTTTGTTTGGTGGTTGTTGGTTGTTGAGTGTTGTTTGTTGTTTGCTATTTCTTGGTTGTTGGTTGTTGTGTCTTGGTCGTTGGTCGTCGGTCGTTGGTTGCTGGTTGTTGCTGTCGCTGCTCTTGCTGGTGGTGGTGGTGGTGGTGGTGGTGGTGGTGGTGGTGGTGGTGGTGGTGGTGGTGGTGGGTGGCGGCGGCGGTGGCAGTGGCGGTGCTGGAGGAGGTGGTGGTGGTGGTGGTGCTGCTGCTGCTGCGGCTACTGGTGCTGCTGGTGGTTGGTGGTGGTGGTGGTGGTGGTGGTGGTGGTGGTGGTGGTGGTGGTGGCGGCGGTGGCGGCGGTGGCGGCGGAGGTGGTGGCGGCGGAGGCGGTTTCTGTTGCTTGTCGCGGTTCGCGGGTCGCGGTTCGCGGGTCGCGGCTGCTGCTGCTGCTGCTGTTGCTGTTGGTGGTGGTGGTGGTGGTGGTTGTTGGTGTTGGTTGTTGCTGTTGTTGGAGGGACCTTCACGGGTTTAAGGGCATGAGGTTTTCAGGGGTTTAGAATATGTACATGTAAGGTTTAGGGGTCTAGGGCGTGGTCGAGGATCGTGAAGTATCCCTGACTCGGTCAATGCCATCCCACTGAAAGTATTTATGATGTCCTCGCCAGGGCTGAGACCTATCCCTCAACGAAATCGCTTGGCAGATCATCGGCCCCAGTTTCTGCCAGGCCACTGGTTCTGCTCAAACATCTTCATGAACTTTGAAGCATCGGGGGCCTTGAGCACTGCGCGAGAAGGCGGCGTGGGCATGCCGGCAGGCATGCCCACCTTCGCCGTACCCAGGCCTCAGAAGTCGCTGAACGCTTGCATTTCTTAGTTCGGCACTCACGCTCGGACAATCCGAATCCAGCTTAGTTCGAGGTTCGTTGACTACCATCCAGCAACGTCTTGCAAGTGTTGAACAGCCCTGACCCAATGGTATACAGATGTACATGCGATGTAGTCGACCGGTCTACCGCTGGGCAGCGGATGCAACAATGGACGCTTCCAGGCCTCCGAAGATGACGGCTTCGATGCACAGAGTCTTTAGGGCTTCCCTTTACAGAGTAGAAGGCATGAAAACAAGACCCCTGCCTGGCTGGCACATGGTGACTGCAGATTTCTTTCGTAAGTTGGCAGTAGGCCCTTGGGAATGTATTTGCTGGTGTGACTCAACAGCCCCCAGACGACACCCCGTGGCGTGAGTTCAACGTGCGCCCTGTTTCCCAACTCTGTAACCCAAACCCCCGCAAGAGAACACGAAACTGGAATGCCAAACCCTGGACGCCGCAACCCTTTAAACTCCTTAACCCCTAACCCCTGACCCTATAAGTGGCACGAGACCGAGACCCGGCCGAAGCCCCGAGGCATCGCAAGCGGAAAAGACTGGTCTGCTGGAGCCCGATCACCACTTTTCGGTAAATACTTTACAACCTTTGCAAAACCCGGTAAGGACTCTAAGAGCTCGTAATTGCACAACAAACCCTCAACCCTAAATCCAGTACAGCGCCTATATAACCAAAGCCAAGCTACGCGGCAGCCCGTCCTCTGTCTCCAGTATATCTTCTACATTGAGATCAGGCGGGACGGTCGTGGCCTCCGTCACAGAAGGAGCCATAACTGCCACAAGAAGCGCCCTGTGACTTTTGTACAGTTGCCGTGATCGTCAGGGCTCGCGGACATTATAATGGTATAGATATATAGGCACGATTAAGGGATATTATATCTAATATTCACTGTCCTGCGTTATCCGTCCAACTCTGCTTTTTGCACACCAGCTGCCAGCGCATACCACTCATGATAATGCTAATACGAAGCTGCAAGACAACAGCAACAACGACGACGACGAGGACGACAACTATTCTCACTACCCCAGATTGCACATCGTAAGAAACAGCAGTACATTCACCGCAGCTTTCTTGGCACTGCTGTTGTCAAGAGTTTGCATCTGAGAGCAGCTTTCTCATGTTCACAACGAAGGGACGAGCTGATTCCAAAACATGAGCACGGCAGAGATGACGATGAACATTTGCATGATGCCGAAGTGACGATGAAGGCCTTGGGAGCTTTTCCCTTTTGTTCCTAGAAGCTTTTGGGGAACGCCGGCAATAGAAGAAGTAATCCTAAATTTTGGACCTCAAGCCCTTTACAGCCTCAGGAGAATCCACCACGAACAGAAAGTACCACGAGAAAGTGGAAAGCAACATCGGCCAAGCTGCGCGATTTTTTTCCTGAGATGGAATCGCTGGCCTGGGCGCAACCATGTGGGTGGTTGTCAAAATTATGGTCCCTCTTGGGGTACCCTAAATAATAGGTGCCGTATTATAATAAGGACCTAAAAAAGGACCCTAATTTAGAGAACTACCCATGTTGGAAGACAGCAAGCAAGGGCAGGAAGTACGAGTAGACCCCATCGTTTGGCAACAGCACTACTCCAATGAGAGGGCATGGCAACACAAGCCACCACTGGCGACTATCATCATCATACCACCACCACCACCACCACCGACGTCGCCGCCCCCACACCACCACCGCCGCCACCACCACCATTATTATTACGCATTATTATTATCATTGCCGCTGCTGTGGTTCCCAAGCCGTAAATCATCCCACCAGTCACCAAAACAGCCAAAGACCCTAAACCCAAACCTCCCCAAAAGCCCTCAATGCTTTTGAACCAAAGCCCTACCCACAAACATACAATCAGCGACAAGGCAAATAGAACCATCTGAAACCCCCCCGACAAACCCTCCGAAGTCCCAGAACACTGCTCCAGGCTCCCCACAAGGACTGCCGACGACCTCGCTTTCCGGGATCCTTCGCAGCTTTCGCAAAGGAAGACACAAAAGATACATCGATTGAACAGGCCCCTCCGAAAAGAAGCTCCGTTAAAGGGTCGGGATCCCGGGCCTTCTATCGGGGGTTTAGGGTTTGGGGGTTGACAGGGGTCTAGGGCTTAAGGTTTAGGTTTGTTTAATTGTTTTCCCCTCTCGCATGGCTGAGGTTTAGGGTTTAGGTATTGGGGCCAGTATTGGGGGTTTGGTCAGGGATTTTGGATTGAAGTTAAAGGTCACAGGTCAGGGCTCGGCTTTATGGTCCTCTACAAGAGTTTAGGGACTCAGGCTAAACGATTCAAAGGTTCGTTCGGGAAATGGGGCTTGGGCGGGTATCGGCCAACCCGACTTATCGGGAAAGGGCTTGAAGGGTGTGAAGTCTTTATTGTGTGTCGAAGGCTTCCGTGGCATGCAACACACATGTCGGACTATTGATGTAAACACTGGGTCTGCCTGATCGAAGGGCATATCGCTTCAGTGCCTGTTTCCATGCTTCGAATCCAAGCTCCTACCTTTGGCTCACGACTCTAAGCCTTGAGCTCTACAAAGCCCTTCGAAGCAAGAACAGCAACTCGAAGCTATAAATTCACAGCATCAGCAACCCGAAGCTGCCCCATGTACGATGCCGAGACGATGCCCGAGAAGTATTGATCTTCCCTCCGGCCCAAACCCTTCCTAAACCCGAAAGCCTACATCTTAAACCCTATTCCAAAGAACACGTTCTGCAGAAGAGCCTTGAGAACACCAAGGGCTTGCAAGGAGGCAATGGAGGTTTGCATCTTGTGCCTGCCCAAACAGGTATGGGCGGGTTCATATCAGGTTCCCCCAACCCCCCAGGTGCCTACTATATAGGGTACTGGAGCCCCTAATGCCCTATATAGTAGGTACCTGGAGGGTTAGGGTTACATAGGACATAACTAGGGATCTTCTGACCAGGAGTCAGCGAACTCCTGTCAGCTATGCTTTTCCATGCGCTATCGCTCTTTCGAAGGCGGCATCCCGTGTTGTTCATGACGGCTTCCAGCTTCTAAGCCCTAAACCCTAAACCGCATGGTTAATAGAAGGAGCCTCGGAACCTCATATGAGTCGGTACTGGGTGGGCCGGGGGCTCGGGGGCCTTATGCTAAGGATCCACCCATATCAAAAATCAGAGTGCCCAGGGCCACACCTTGGCAACAGCAAGATTGAATCGATAGATAGATAAATAGATGGACAGGTGGATGGATAGATAGATAGACAGATGGATGGATACATAGATAGATAAAGAGCAGAAGGAATCGTCTTTAATCCTAATTCGGCAGTGGCACAAATGTTCCTTCGTGTGTTGCTGCAATTGATGTTCGCTTAGTTTGCTGGCAATCTCCACGGCTGGGTAGTGGCTTTCTTACTTAATACTGCTGCACTCTGCTACTGTTGCTGTTGCTCCTGGTGTTGCTGGCGGTGGTGCTTTCGCGGTGGCAGCCGTGCTGGTTGTCTTCTTCTGCTGCGGCTGCGGATATTTCTGTCCATTTGGGCTGCCAGGATGGTGATCAAGGCGGTGGTGGGGCGGCGGAGGCGGGGAGGGGGGGGGGGGGGGNNGAAGGGGGAAGGGTGGCGGCAGTAGTCTTGCTGCGCGCTGTTGGGATGGTATCGCTTGCGTACCCGCTGGATTCTGCTACTGCTGCAAATGCTGCGGCGGTTTCCCATGTGATTGTACTTGTGGGAAGCATGCCCACTAGCACAGTCATCGCCACCACCATCACTGACCAGGAGTAAATGCAGAAGCAGCAGCGGCATTCCCATCGTTAGCATCATCATTATCATCGTTATCATCATCATCATCACCATCATCATCATCATCATCATCGTCATCATCATCAACATCATGATGGTCGCCGCCGTTGCCACCACCATCAGCGGGCGCATCATCTTCAGCATCATCAGGCTCGAGTCCAGCAGCACAGCGTCCAAGGTTCCAGGTCGTGTTTCAACTACCAGTAGTTCATCCCTCAGCTTTGGAGTCAGGCATGCACCAAGGATGTAAATGACCAAGCTGGATGCAGTTGCACAGATTGATCGCGGCGCTTGGCATCTGAATCTGCCACATTGGAGCGCAAGAGCGCGCGCATATACATACGTGCATACATACATCGATACAAACATGCAAGCATACATACATACATACATACATACATACATACATACATACATACATACAGACATACAGACATACAGACATACAGACATACATACATACATACAGACATACATACATAGTATGGTCGCATTAACTACATTACATTACCCTATAAAACTACAGTCATCACACGAGTAATCATTGCTACGTACATTCACACCCAAGAGGTAGGCGAACTTGTCGAACAATACAACCCATGCCGCCATGAATGCCTTGACAGGCATTCTGATGGTAAGCCCCGGCTAATTACTTTGCAAACACCTCAACCTGACAGAAGCCCAAGTTCCAAACCATGAAGACGGAAAGCTCCAAACCACGAAGCCACAACATCATACTTTTTTATCCTGACGCCACTCCCAAGAACCCGAAGTGCAACACGGTGGGCAGTTCTCTTCAAAATACTACGGCACCCTTAGAAAGGAAGGGCCCTAAAAGGCACCCCCCCATTTAGACAACTGGCCATGCGCACTCCGAGGGGCCATTCCGAAGACGAAGAATCACCATCTTGCTGTTGTCCATCAGCACGGGGTGCTCGTGGGGTGGCCGGTTCGGCCACCCTGGCCCGGGGGTAGTCGGTAGTAGGGTTTAGTGTTTTTTTGACAGTCACACTCGGACAAGCCTGGGAAGGTCTGCAGGTATACTGGTTCAACGAATGGTAGAGAAGGGATTAGGGTTTAAGGCAGTAGTTGCACTGGCCTTCATGCTCAGCAGTAGTGGTGGGGTGGTGATTCGATGTTGGTGGTAGTACAGGTAGAAACTGATAGCAACAAGATCGAACTAGTAGTAGTCGTCGTCGTAGTGGTAGTTGCAGCAGCAGCAGCAGCAGCAGCAGCAGTGGCGGCAGGAGCAGTAGCTATAGTCGCGGTAGTAAGCGATAGTGTAGCACAAGGCGGCGGAGGAGGATCAGGGATCAGGAAGAAGAGGAGGATTGGAGCTGCTAGCGGGTCCGCACTTCTCATGCCATACCCATAACTTAGGTGATATTATGAAGGGTACCCCTTAAAGGGTACCCCTTCTGAACCCTACTTTTGGCTCTCTTAAAAGGGACCTTATTGAGAGGGTCTATATCCCCAAAGGTCCCCCTAATCCTAGCTCCCATAACTGGGTTGTAGTTTGGGGGTTCGACTGCGTGAACCTATCTCAAAACCCCGGTCCCGAAGACGACACAACAGATTGCCAGGCCACCTTTTAGGGAAGTGCGGGCTGGGGCACACAAGGGCGGTCCATCAACATCACGGGTTTGGGGGTTTAGGGTTTAGGAGTTTAGGGTTTAGGGGTTTAGGGTTTAGGGTTTCGAAGAAATCATGCAAAAGCAGTTTAGGATTTCGACTCGCACACTCGTGCTAGGCAGGCACAGATTCAGGCGCACGTCCACTCAAGCTACGAAGCACCAACAAGCCGTCCAGAAATAAACATGTAGGAACCTAAACCATGACCACCCTTTTGACCGCTCCGAAAAGCAAGTGCTCCAAGCCTCACAGGCCACACAGAACATGGAATTTGTACCGATCGCTGCGACGTTGCCGTGCCGCAGCTAGGTGTAGTGGGAAGCTTTCGCTTCAGATCCAGTAACAGTTGCTCCGCGTG